TTCTGTGTTCTTCTGATTTGCCCAGTTTTCATTCTCTACCGGATTATCCGGCTTTTGTGTATAATTAATCTCATATTGTCAGCCTTCTCTGTCATGAAAGAAGGCTGCACAGATTTAAAACATTTCCCTTATCTGGCTTCCTTCAGCAGCCTGTAAAGATCTCAGTCACTGGAAACAAGAATCAGCCGTAGAGACACAAATCCTGAAGGTTCAGGGGAAAAATCTCAAAGGATCAAACTTTCCTATGAGAAGTAAAACAAACTAAATGATCACCAAAGGATACGTTTCTTTTTAAAGGTTTTCTAAATTGCAACCCATTCAGTTTTAAAGAAGAGTCGTCTTGCATAACTATCCGTCCCCTGCTTTGTATTTATTCCACCTTCAGCTGCTTTCCGGGTCCCCGGTTGCTGCTGCCAAGCTGAGAATGTCTGAGGACACTTTTGGCAATTTACTCAGCTGCCTGTGTTCCTAGATGCCAGCTGGTGTTTGGCATTTGGTGGACAGGTCCTAACAGATGCAGAGATGATGTGTTGAAGGAGGCCCATTGGGTCAAACAAACAAACCGATAACAATCACTCTCTACTCTGCAAAACCGCAGCTTTTTGTTGTCATTTTTAAACTTATTTTCTCATTTTCAGTTGCAGCCCTTTAAATATACACTGTGTGTGGGTGTATGTATATATCTCAAACTATCCTTATAATATTATGGGCTTCCAATAGAAAACATTAAGAAGAGGCTTAATTCTATTCTATTCAGTTTATTTCTATGACGCCAATTCACATCATGTCATCTCAAGGCACTTTCCAGTTCAACCAGATCATCCAGTCAGATTGATTCAAAGTTTTCTATCTAAGGAAAACCAGCTGATTGCATCGACTCATTGACTCTTCAGCAATCCCTCACAGATAGATATGCACCAATCAGACAGAAAATCAATGGCCTATTTTTGTTTTCTTATTCCTGGAATATAGATTAACACAAAGCATGTCTTTTCTGTCTGTCTGTCTGTCTATTAGGGATGGAACGGTTTATGAAAATTGTTTGAACCGTTCGGTTCGACTGTCTCGGTTCGGTTCGACTGTCTCGGTTCGGTTCGTGTGTTTCGTTCGGTTCATGCGCTGCTCCTTTTTCTCATAGGCGAAGCGGTTACACTCCAGCAGAAGGTGGCGGCATTGAGACCAAAGCCAACCACCAGTAGTAAACAAGAAGAAGAAGAAGCGACGTGTAGCTGGGGAAAAAATCAGTTGTTGTGGAGAATTGTGTGGGTATGGCGAGTGGGAAAGAACAGGAGTTGGAAGACGCGCCAGCAGCACTTTATAGGTCTGCTGTATGGGACCACTTTGCATTTAGAGTGACCTACGATGACGGAGGAAAGAAAGCTGTGGATAAAAGTGCAACAGTGTGCAAGCATTGTGCAACACGTTTTGTTTATGCTAACAGCAACATGACCAACATGTCAGGCTAACAATCAACATATACCGAACCGAAAACCGTGACCACGAAACCGTGAACCGAACCGAACCGTGGATTTTGTGAACCATTCCACCCCTACTGTCTATATCTATTAACTATCTCTAAACTTAAAGGAACTGGTTTATTTTTGTTTCTATTCAATTCAGTTTGTGCCTTGATGCATTAAATATTATAATCTCTTTTCATAACAAAAACAGAAATGTGTTCAATGCTGAAAGTCTGCTTTACATGCACATATTTGTTTTATTTCATATATGATGCATTTAGACTGCTTGCTAATACCATATTTGGCCATTCGGATGGACTTTCACTGTCCTTCATTTACTACTAATCACCATATGCATCATCACACGTTGTTGATGAAGATTCTCAGTCATCCAGGTCATAGTCATTCCATAAAAGTTCAAAAACAGACTCAAACTCACTGCGGATCCAGACATTTGAATTGAGAAAGCTTCCTGGAGAGGTAGCGAAACGTCTTCAAATCTTGGAAACCAAGTCCAGTAATTTATTTTTTTCTTTTTACGGAATCATCACATATTGTTTCATAAAGTCAAATCTTGTTACTTTTTGTTGTTTTGTTTTACATAGTTTTTCTAAAAGGCTCAATCTGACAGATTAATGTTGCAGGACGAACAAATTAGAGCATGTGATGTGAGATGAGGTTTGCCTCAGAGGGATTGACCTAATAATACTTTCTCTGCAACTGTTGATTGTTTAAACATTCATCCTCATGCAGTGGATATTTAATTACACTAAAGTTTTACCAACTGAGTAACTTTGGATTTTTTTTCCTTTTTGATGCTGCCTGAGCATAGCTCCATTATGTGGTGTGGTGCTTTCTTTTGGTTTTCTAGTAATTGTTGTTTGTGATTTTGATGTTAAACACTGAAGCTCGTACTCTGGATGTTTTATAGACGCAGTGTGAGATCTGCCAACACTGAGCTGCTGTGTGTGGTATGTTTAAAAACAGTCATTTAATGGCTGCTGCCTGCAGTGTGTTGGAGCTGTGCAAGTTTGCTTTCTGATTAAAAAAAAAGAAGTCAGACGCCAAATTAAGAACGGCACCGATGCAGCTTCTACTGCATGAAGACAGATGTAGTTACTGCTCTGTGAACAGGAATCACTAACTTATCTTTTAAAGGAGAAGTCC